TGAATTAGAGAGAAAAAAAGAAAAAGAAAAAAAAAAGAGAATCTTGTGGATGGTGCCTTAAAGTAAGGGAAGATCTAAGTTCTGGAAGAGGTTTTAATGATTTCAAGAAAGACACATCACACTTAACACATTTATGAAATTTAGACTTGAATCTGACAATATGTTAACTGTATTTTAATATTCTTTATTAGACAGTCACTGGCTAGACCTTGGAAACAGCATCTTCACTCTTTATCATCTCTTTTTTTTGGTAACAACTCACTATCATCTCTTCAACACAAACCCAAACTGCCTCTTTTTCCTCTTCCACTGAGAAAACTCTCTCTCTCTCTCTCTCTCTCTCTCTCATATTGTGTTTTTTTTCCTTCCACAGAATCCCAGCCTTATTATTGTTAATTCTTCCCCAAGTAGATTGAAGAACAGGTATGCTCTGCTTTCATTTAATTCTCAAGATGAGGTATGTGCATACACAGCATTTACATACCAAAATCAAGGCAAGGTTACAGGCTATGTCCTAGTGATATTGGTAGAAATATTTCTCATTTCTGTATACAAAAATGGGTTGTCTAAATGGGATTTCCTTGATTTGCATTGTTCTTTGTGTTTCATCAATCCCATCAGTTGTATTTGTATATGCTTCTTTTGTTCCTCAAGATCAATTCTTTATTGATTGTGGGGGAAGCAAGGCAATGGAGTTTGGGGATGGCAGGGTTTTTCAGCCTGATTCTGGGAACCCACATGTTACTTTATCTTCACAAGGCCACACTGCAGTTTCAGATCCTGAAACCAGTTTGTCAAACCACTCAAATCTCTATACTTCTGCCCAGGTTTTTAGAGAAACTTCATCTTATACCGTTAACACTAAGCAGATTGGTCGTCATTGGCTTAGATTGCATTTTTACCCTTTTGAGAACCCAAAGTTCAATTTGAAATCTGCAGTCTTCTCTGTTGTGGCTAATGGAATTACACTGCTTCATGGGTTTTCTTTTTCGAAAGTTGGCAAAACCTCTCATCTAGTGAAGGAATATGTTTTTCAAGTCGATGGAACAAGTTCTAAGAAACTGGTTCTTACATTGTCACCTTGGAATGGTTCAATTGCATTCATCAATGGGATAGAGGTTGTTTCTGTGCCTGATGGGCAATTCCCAAGTACCGAAGTAATGCCTGTTCCATTGGGGCCTGCAGTTGATGTTCCTAAACATGTCACTTTCGAGACAGCTTATAGGATAAACATGGGAGGTCAACATATAATCCCCAAGAATGACTCACTGTGGAGGACATGGGATCCAGACCATGCTTTTCTTGTCAATGCTGCTGCGGCCCGGAATGTTGCAGCCAATCCCAGCAGAATCAAATACTCTGTTGGAGTTTCAGTTGAAATTGCACCAAATTGGGTTTATGCCACAGCTCAAGAGATGGCGGATGCACAGGTCAGCAATCAGAAATTTAACATTTCATGGGCATTTGAAGTTGAGCATGGCTTCAGCTATCTTATCAGATTGCATTTTTGTGACATTGTAAGTGTAGCTCTCAATCGTTTGGTTTTCAATGTGTATATCAACCAACAATCTGCTCTAGACTCTTTTGATATCTCAAGCAGGACAATGGCATTATCAGCAGCTTACTTCATAGACTTTGTGACAAATGTTTCGATGGGCTCAAATCGGATTTTGGTGCAAGTAGGTCCTCCTATGTTAAGAGACCTCTCATCCAATGCAATCTTGAATGGTTTGGAGATTATGAAAATGAGCAATCATAGACACAGCCTTCATGGGAATCTTCCAGGGAATCATAAAATGGACACAAGATCCCCTGCAGGCAAGAAAAAGTGGATGCTGCTTGCAATTTCTTCTTCGGCAGCAGGGTTTGTAGTTTTGGTGCTCATGTCAGCTGCCTTCTATTTGTATTGGCGTAAAATCCATCAAAAGAAGCTGAAGCCTCAGTGCTCAGCCTGGATATCATTACCTAGCCATTTGGGGATTTCTGATTCAAAAGTTTCCATTTGCAGTTATGATTCCACAGCACATTCTCTTAGTTTAGGTCGTATTCTGGCTTTCTCGGAGGTTCGTGAAGCAACGAAGAACTTTGACAAGAGCTTGGTTTTGGGAGTGGGTGGATTTGGAAAGGTTTACAGGGGAGTGCTAGAAAATGGGACTGTGGTTGCAGTGAAGCGCGGAAATCCAAGGTCACAACAGGGACTTATTGAATTCAGGACAGAAATTGACATGCTATCAAAGCTCAGGCACAGGCATTTGGTTTCTCTGATAGGCTACTGTGAGGAACTCAATGAGATGATCCTTGTTTATGAGTACATGGCCAAGGGTCCTCTGCGAAAGCACTTGTATGGTTCGAATCTTTCTCCGCTTTCTTGGAAACAAAGGCTTGAAATTTGCATTGGAGCTGCAAAAGGCTTGCATTACCTTCACACAGGAGCAGCAGAGAGTATAATTCACCGTGATGTTAAAACAACCAACATACTTCTTGATGAAAGCCTCACTGCAAAAGTGGCTGATTTCGGATTGTCAAAGCTAGGCCCTACATTGGATCAAACACATGTAAGCACTGCAGTGAAGGGTAGCTTTGGTTACCTTGATCCGGATTACTATCGTCGACAGCAGCTCACAGAGAAGTCAGATGTGTATTCCTTTGGAGTAGTTCTGTTAGAGGTCTTATGTGCTAGGCCTCCTATAAACCCTGCCCTCCCTAGAGAACAGGTTAATATAGCAGAATGGGTTATGAGTTGGCAAAAGAAGGGAAGACTAGAAAAGATTATAGACCCCCATCTTGGAGGACATGTCAATCTTGAATCTCTTAGAAAATTTGGTGAAACAGCAGAGAAGTGCCTGGCTGAATATGGAGTTGATAGGCCAACAATGGGAGATGTTCTGTGGAATTTGGAGTATGTTCTTCAACTACAAGAGGCTTCTATGCAAACTGTTTCATCTGAGAACAGTGCAAATTACATCCCATACATGCCAGAATGGCTCCCCCAAATGAGTGATCAAGAATCTGATGCAACATCAAGTGCTGTGTTTTCTGAGTTGTTGGATCCAAGGGGAAGATAAAATTATCAAAGGGGGTGAGCTATGATCACACACATACTTGTACCAATATTGTTTTTTTTTCCTTCTCACTTTGTTTCATGATTTATATTATATTATTGTTTGCAGATCAAAATGCACACGAAATATGAAGATTCCCTATTTGATTGATTTCCTATTTTCAGTTTACCTTTTTGTTTTTTATGAGTGTGTTGGGCCTGTGTTATGATCCAACAACTTGAAGGCCAACACTAAGTCCATATCTTAGGCCACTTCCAGCAGAGCCCGAAGGCAAGGGCTGGGGGCCTACTGTAGCCCAAAAACTGATTCCAGCAGGAGGGGTTGGCCCGGGCAAGCTGTGGGGGCCACGAGCCTGGGCTGGCCCGAAGGGGGAGGGGGCCCGAGCTGTTGCCTGCGGGCTGGATGACGTCAGCGCGCTACAGTGCAGCCAACATCTCTCTGCCAAGTGTCGCGTTCTGGGCTCTCCGATCAGAATTTTTCCTCCAATCTAACGGCAGCCAATTTTTGTGCAATAAAAAATTGAAAAAAAATTGAAATTTTTATATTTTTATAAATAAAAAACCCAAAAATTTTGTAATTTTTTTTTCTACAAATACCTACCAAAACTTTTCACTTTCAACACCAAATCCTCATATATTTTCTTCTAATTATACTATTATTCACTTTTTACTCAAGTATTGACAAGTACGAACCCAAAAATTTTATCCGAAAATATTGTCCAAATTAATTGTTTAGGTAAACAAATTTGTGAAAAAACAAAAAATTGAATAGTACTTGCCCTTTGCCCGGGCAACTGCTGGAAGTGGAACTTACTTTTTACAAGGCTGACACTATTCATGTGAATAGTGTCAGCCTTAGCCCCCCCTTGCCATGGCAAGAGTTTGACTGCTGGAAGTGCCCTTAGTTCAACCAAACTAAGTTTAAATTTAAATGGGCTAGAAAGATAAAGTTATATCATTTTAGAAGTGAGAGAAACGCAGACGTCGGTTAGGTCATTTGACTTAAATAGCGTGTTTGGTCCCTTACACTCGTGTTTGATCTCTCCCTTTATATTAGACTAGTTTAGAATATCGAACAAGAAAAACGTGAGAGAAAGAGTTTGCAAAAAGATAAACTTCAATCATACAAATGATATGATGCAAAATGATCCACATGATAAAACAAATCCTCCACTTTGGCTTAGCATCCAAGAATTGGTCGGTCCAATTATAACAAAGAAATTGATGTACCTCCTTTGTCGGCACACAAAATATTAGTTTGGAACGTTGTAATTAATAAGCAATTTATTTTTCCTACTTTTTCCCCAAAAAGAATTTTCTCATATTTAGTGGAACTAATAATGTTGATGGACCCTCTAATAATATAATAATATGAGACTCAACTCAACATTAAAATAATTAACAACATAATTAAGAATCTAATAAACATTATTTTTCTATACATACGACACATCACCGATTGAAACAATTCGGTCGTTGCGGGACCATGACGACGCAAGTTTTAATGCAGGGACCCACCGACCCGCTACGAAAACGACACTCGTTTTGAATATTCAAACGTCGGTTCGTCCCACTCCGAGAACTCGCCGGCCATTTCGCGCTCGCGCCACATAACCATTACACAATCATCAAGCGGGGTCCGCCACGTCACTTGGACGGCGATCCTAAATCTCCTCGGGCCAGTCTTTTTGCCGATTCAGCCGTAATGAAATTTCATCACCACCACAAACGTGGGAGAGCCGTACCTGGACGAACGACACGTCGCATTCAGGAGCTGTAAAGCGACCGACATGTGGCATCGAGAAAAACCCGCTCCAGTCTTGTCGCTCACTGGCCCTACAGATTTACTACATCTTTTTTTACCGCTGACCGGCTAGACCCGTTCCATAGCCGTTATTTCAGGTATTTATAGGGCAAATCCCACACTTGTAAAGTAAGCAGTCGACAGTGGAAGCTAAGAGCTACACAGAGAAACAAAAAGGATTTGAAAGAGGAATTTGAAGAAAATGCCAATCAATAGAATTGCAGTTGGGACGCCAGGAGAGGCAAGCCACCCTGATGCCATAAGGGCTGCCTTTGCTGAGTTTTTCTCTATGCTCATCTTTGTTTTTGCTGGGGAAGGCTCTGGCATGGCTTTCAGTAAGATCCTTCAATTTCACAATTTCAATATATCTGTCTACAAAATTGTTGTTACTTACCATGATATACATTGTTCATTCATTTTTTGACGACTTGACTGTTCAAGGTTGTCGATCGTAATCTCTTTTCACATTAATTTGAATTGGTTTATACTTTCTATACGTATGTGTGATACGCGAAAGATAAATGTTAGCTTGATATATGCATTTTTCAAAGTATGTGATTATCTAACCTTTTTTTTTTGCTTTCTAATTAAATCGGCTAATCAAGGGAAGTTAATTAATTTTGGCAGACAAGCTAACTAACAACGGGTCAACCACACCGTCTGGGCTTGTAGCTGCATCATTGGCACACGCTTTTGCACTTTTTGTTGCTGTCTCAGTGGGTGCAAACATTTCCGGGGGTCATGTAAATCCTGCTGTCACATTTGGTGCATTCATTGGTGGCAACATAACTCTGTTGAGAGGCATTTTGTATTGGATTGCACAGTTGCTTGGATCAGTTGTTGCTTGCTTGCTACTCAAGTTTGCCACCGGTGGATGGGTAAGTAATTAACTTGTTGGTCAACATGAGCGCGAACACGTGATGCTAGCACATCTACATCAATGACCGTGGTAGCATTACGTGCTCACACACGATTGACTGATGGTAGCATAATTCTTGTTGTCCAAGATAATTTGTTGATCTTACATGTTCCTAACTTGACGTTTCGATTATTCATTTAACCCCTGCAGGAAACAGCAGCATTCTCTCTGTCGTCTGGTGTGTCAGTGTGGAATGCTCTAGTGTTTGAGATTGTGATGACCTTCGGCTTGGTCTACACAGTGTATGCCACAGCAGTTGATCCAAAGAAGGGCAATGTAGGCATTGTTGCACCTATCGCAATTGGTTTGATTGTCGGTGCCAACATTTTGGCTGGGGGTGCGTTTGATGGTGCATCCATGAACCCAGCAGTGTCGTTTGGGCCTGCTGTGGTCAGCTGGTCATGGACTCACCACTGGGTCTATTGGGCTGGCCCATTGATTGGTGCTGCCATTGCAGCTCTTGTCTATGACAACATCTTCATTGGTGATGGGGCCCACGAACCACTACCCAACAATGATTTTTAGAAAGTTGTCATTGCTTGGTTAAAGATTTAAGGATGCAATTGTTTGTTCAACTGAAGGGGCTCATGGGAATTGAATGATCAAGTCATATTTCATGTACTTTTGTTGTAGGTTTTACTTTTACTAGTGTTTTGTTTGTGAGGAGAGTAGAACTCAGCTAGTTGGTTTGTCTTTTCTAATCTTTGGAAATGCATTGTTCGTTTTATAATCTTCTGCTTCAAATTGATCTGCTATCATTTACTTTTACACTGGGAAAACAAAAACACGGGTTGTGGTGGCCGATCGATGAAAAACATGTTTAAAAGATGAAAATATGTTAAGAACCACAAGTTTCAAAACATCTATGGGAAGTAAATCCTTAGACCCATGTGAAGAAGTTTTGTACACAACTCATTAATATCTTTTGCTTCTTCCAGAAACACAAGGGAACACTTGTTTTGCATCCTTTCCATGGTTTGCTCAAACTCTTTGGCCTCTCCCCAAGCAATTATCACTTGATGCTGCTGTGATTAGTGGCTCCACTGTAACTAGATCCCTTCTTACGCATCCTTTCTCATTCTCTTGATTTGTAAATCCTTCTAACTTAACTACTTTCAGATGAGCCAATATTTTATGGCTTTTGACTTCTCCCTTTCTAACTTAAACCCCAAAAAAACAGAAAAAAAGAGAGGATAGAGTTGTGCTTGCCAATGCCATGCAGTAGCTTTTAGGATCATTCTGCACATCATTAACATAGTATAAAACCACATAATTGTATAGTTTTATAAAACCACATAATTGTATAGTTTTGGAACTAAGAGAAGGGTAAATTGCAACAAACTTAATGGGACTTGTAAATTCCCAACTATTAGTCTACTCTATTATTCGTGTTTGTGTTTCTTGAAAGGAAACCAATAAGACATTGGAAATTTGTGCTTGGAGAATATTGTTCAGGAATAAGGAAGGCTAAAAGTTACTCTTGGTTCTTGTAGTTTGGCACTTCAACCACTTTTAATCTTGTAGTCTCAATTCCGTCAATTTTGACCATGTACGTAGTTTCATATTTGTAGCAATTCGAGGACACGTTAGTATTCCCATCAATTTCTTTGACAGTGCAAAGGGCAATTTGATCAACCCAAAACCCTTTAGCGTAAAAGCTTGTATGAAACTCTCCCCATTTCATATTGGGGCTTGAAATTGACTATTTGGGTTTAGGGTTCTTCAAAAATTGGGATTAGTGGTTGAATTTCGAGCCCAAATATGAAGTGGGGAGAGTTTCAAATGACCTTTTACGCTCAAGAGTTTTAGGTTGACGAAATTGCCTCTTGCATAGTTAAAGAAATTGACAAGAATACTAGCTTGTCCTTGAATTGCTACAAATACAAAACTACAATGACAAAATTGACGGAATTGAAACTACTAGGTCGTGGAAGTGTCAAACTACATGAATCAAAAGTGACAGGCAAAATTGTGTGATACTTCGGACAAAATGATTGTTTAACCTTTTGGTTTATTTACCAACATGGTAGGCACATCTTTTCTAAAAGTATAATAAAATGAAGTTGTTATTGGTACGCCAACAAATTTATTACGAACACTTCCTCCTTTATAAAAAAGATAAGACAAAAAAAAAAAATTATGATGAGTTTTTCGAAGTGCCCATAGCAATTCCTTAACAAAAATAAGAACCTAACTAAGACAATTTTTGTTAAGCGTCCACATTCTCAGGTTCTTATTTTAAGCGTATAGCCGCTCAGCACTGCGAAAAATAATTTGACAGGGAAAAAAAAAAAATCAAAACAATTTGACGGGGAAAATGAAGTCTTATGTTAAGCGTATAGCTGCTCGGCTATACTATTTATAGAAAAACCACCCCAGTAAAGCCGTGCGGCTATACTCTTCTTCTTATAAAAATTATCCCGAGTATAGCCACGCGGCTATAGTATTTTTTTTATAATAAAAAAGGGGAGTATCCCGTGCGGCTATACTCTTTTTATTAAAAAAACACTAGGTATCGCCGCGCGGCTTTACGATTTATTAAAAAAATAGGGACCGCCTGGCGCTTAGCGCCCACTTGGCCACGTGTCAAAAAGATATAGCCGGGCAGCTATACTATTTTTTTATACTAAAAACAGTAGTATAGCCGAACGGCTATAATAAAAAAAACCAAGAGTATAGCCGCCCGGCTATACTATTTATTGATAAAAAAAAAAAGAGGGCTCCGCATTTTCAGGCTCAAAATGTCAAGCCCAGGGCCAAGCACCGAACCACCCCTCCGAATCCTCCATAGGCTTCGGCCCAAAATAAATCTCTAAGCATGCACCAGTACGACGTCGTTCAATCGACTACGCTTGCCTCCGTTTTCTATACGAACCAAAACCTCAGGCCAAAACCTTAGGCTTTGGCGGCTTTGGCCCTTGCCTTCTCATTCTCTTCAGAGAGTTCTTCAGTAAAAGCCATCATTTCGAAAGAGTGCAGAGATGGTTTTGTCAAACAGAAGGCTGAAGCAAAAGCTAAGAGAAACACTAGCTCAATCCTTAGCAGAATCGGTAGCTAAAGCCGACCCGCAAACTGATGGGTCAGAAAACCCAGACCCGAATTCGGAGCCCCAGTCGCTGAAAGTGCTCCTGGACTCTGCAACCCAGAAACCCAGATTGTCCAAGCGAGAGAAACGTAGAAAGCTCCTTGCTTTGCGAGGTTCAGAGGCGGTGAGTGGGAGTGGCACTGGTGGCAATTTTGAGGAAAACAAGGGCGAGGAAGATAAAAGGGAAGTTGAGTCGGAGGATTTGGGGGATGAGAAAAAGGAGGAGAAGAAAAAGAAGAAGAGGAAGAGAGATGAGGAGGAAAACAATGGAGTTTTGAGTTCAGAGGAAAATGAGGTTGTGAAGGAGGCTAAAAAGCCAAAGAAAAAGAATAAGACGAAGAAGAAGAATAAGAAGAGAAAGAAGGAGGCAAAGAATGAGGAAGAGAAAAAGGATGGTGAGCTTGGGAGTGAGGAGCAAAGTGTCAAAGAGACAAATAATAACAGTGATAGGTAATTTTAGACGATACCCCTTGTGCTCAAATTGAATTTGTGCTTTTTTTTTTGTCAACTTTGTTTTGATTATGATATTGTTTAATTAGAATTTTTAGTTTAATTTTTGTTGTTTTGGTAAGTTCAGTTTCTCTGTTCCTATATTTTACCTCAACACTTGAACCACTAGTGTTTAGAAAGTGTTTAGTAGAAGATCAGTTGATTTTGTATGGGAGGAAATATAGATTGATCGGAAGATATCTGCTTTCTATGTGAAAATGTGTTCTATAGTTTTTGCCTCATTCTTTATGTGTTCTGTCATTTTGTTTAGGCAAACGAATGGGGATGTTCCTACAAAAGTTTATGTTGGAGGCATTCCTTATTACTCGACCGAGGACGATATTCGAAGTTACTTTGAAAGCTGTGGCACAATAACTGAAGTTGATTGTCTGAGGTTTCCTGACAGTGGGAAGTTTAGAGGAATTGCTATTATTAGCTTTAAGGTAAGAAATTTTGTAAATTATTTTCTGCATTTAATTTGGGCAAAATTAGAAAGCTGTGTATTTAAGTCCTTGCTAATGTAACTTAGAATTGAATTTCTCTTCACAAATCTTACAAGCAAAGTCTTGTGGTGGTGATGGTGAGCTGCCAAATTCTCCTGGCTCCTCCACTTTGGATATGACTGGTCAATATGTTTTTGAAAAAATCTTAAAAGTCAGTTAGTTGTATTCTTAGTGATGACACTAAGTAGCTGATCTGCCTAAATTCAGTTAAATAAGTTTTCTAGAATATTAGAAGTTTTATGGCCTAATCTGTGGTAGAAATAATAGCATCACACAACCTCTGAATCAATTTATGCTAATCTTTTGTTTTCGATTATTAATAAATATAAGTTCATGCTGAATACAAGATTGTTTATCGTTTCTCATCTCAACATTCTAATGTTTCTACAGACAGAAGCTGCTGCTAAACGAGCCTTGGCTCTTGATGGAGCTGAAATGTGAGTTTGGTTCTCATTGGTTATTCAATTTGTTGTAGAATTGACCAATTCTCACGTGATTCTAATGGAACTTGTTATTGTCTCAGGGGTGAACTATTTCTGAAAATCCAGCCTTACAAGGCAACTCGAGCCAATAAAGTATCTGATTTTGCCCCACAAATTGTGGAGGGGTACAATAGAATCTATGTTGGAAATTTGTCGTGGGATATTACTGAGGATGATCTGAAGAAACTTTTTTCAGATTGCAAGATATCATCTATACATTTTGGTATGGATAAGGAAACAGGGGAATTCCGAGGTTATGCTCATTTGAATTTCTCTGATAGTCTCTCGCTGACGCTGGCATTGAAGTTAGATCAGAAGGTTGTATGTGGAAGACCTGTCAAGATAAGCTGTGCAGTACCTCTGAAAAGAGCAGGGACCCCTTCAAATTCTGCACCTACAAATTCAAGTACTCATTCAATATCAGTAGCCCCAACCACAGGTGCCAATTCGATACCAGTAGCTATAACTACAGATACAGGAGCTGATAATACTGAGTTGAGTACCGTCAGTGGTAAGATTAAGAGAAGGACATGCTACCAGTGTGGTGAAAAGGGACATCTCTCATCCGCTTGTCCAATGGCATCAACTACGTTTTCAAGTACCCATTCAATTGCTGTAACTACAACTACAAGTGCCGATTCGATACCAGTAGCTACAACTACAGATACAGGGGCTGATGATATTGGGTTGAGTGCCGTCAGTGGTAAGATTAAGAGAAGGACATGCTACCAGTGTGGTGAAAAGGGGCATCTCTCATCCGCTTGTCCAATCACAGCAACTACGTTTTCAAGTACCCATTCAATATCCATAGCTACAACTATAAGTACTGATTCAATACCAGTTGCTGCAACTACAAGTACCAATTCGATACCAGTAGCTACAACTACAAGTACCAATTCGATACCAGTAGCTACAACTACAGGAGCTGATAATGGTGGGTTGAGTGCCATCAGTGGTAAGATTAAGAGAAGGACGTGCTACGAGTGCGGTGAAAAGGGTCATATTTCTTCAGCTTGTCCAAAGAAGCAATCTGCTGATAACAATGCAAGCATGCAGGCAGTGTCCTAAGTTTTCCTGTTAACTATATGTAGGAAAAACATATTATCCTTCTCATCAAACTATTATTTTTTCAAATAGGCTGAAAAGCCAAAGATTGCAGCTTAGTTTGAGGCAAAGATTTGTAGTACTGAGATGTTTCTTTCTTATTGATAAAGCAAATTTTGATTCTTGCTTAAACTCTCCTTGTCAAAAGGAACAATTAAGTGTTTTCATGTACTTTTGTTGTAGGTTTTACGAGTGTTTTGCTTTGGTTTTATGTTGTAAGAGGACAGTAGAGCTCGGCTAGTTGGTTTGTCCTTCCAAATCATTTGAAATGCCTTGTTTGTTTTGTAATCTTCTGCTTGAAATCGATCTGCTATCATTTACTTGAATAGTGGGAAAATAAAAATATGGGTGGGTGTGGCAGATTGAAAAAACAAAAAACATGTATAAAAGATGCAAATATATTAAGAACCACAAATTTCAAAATATGTATGGGAATTTGGGTTGGTCTAAGAAGCAAATTATAGCAAATCTTTAGACCAATGTGAGCAACAGCTCATTAATATCTTGTTCCAAAAACACGAGGGAACTCTTGCTTTGCATCCTTTCCGTTCCATGGTTGCTCAAACTCTTTGGCCTCTCCCCAAGCAATTCTCATTTGATGCTGTTATGATTAGTGGCTCCACTCCACTGTAACTAAGGGGGGTGTATTCAATTGGGATTTTAAAAGATTATTTTGAGATGAATAAGTCATGTGGTATTCAATTAAGACTTTTAAATAATCTAAACAAGTCTTGTGGTATTCCATTAAGATTATTAGGATTTTTAAATGAGGGTGTCGAAATCTAGCGGTATTCAATCAAGACTTTAAATAAGTAACAAAAAGTCTTATGGTATTCAAAACTGTGCTAATTTCAAAGGATTTTTTAAAATGTGAGATTGTGTGAGATTTTTTAGCATGAGGTATAAATACCAAGCTCTATCTCAAATCCCATCCTAACCCATCAGACTTTTCACGTGAGATTTTAAAAAAAAAAAATTATTTCCTCACCTTGACCTCCACCCAAACGGTTGGGCACTGGTTATAAACCATGGCAACCAAACCACCACTAACGACCACTGGGTATAAAAAAAATGTTCTTTCCTCACCTTCCCTCGCATGAAGACCAAACCACCTTCCAAACATGAGCTACCAGCTGTTGGGGTATAAGCTTCTAACATGTGGGCCTTCACACATCTATATGACAAAGCTGGATGGCTGGGCAAAAATTGCCCACCATCTGTTCGACACAAAC